TCAAAATTATTATATTTCACAAGATCTGAATGCAGATTCTTTTTTGCTAAGATTCATAGCTTCTTTGAAAATAAATTCTTATCTTACTTCCCTAATAAAATTTAAAGGTAAAAATTTCTGCAAGTGTTGGCAATTACAACATCCCCTTTGACACCAAACGCTGGCAATAAGATGAAAATAGTGTTATTCTTTTCCATATTAAAGGATCGAATTCTTTGGAGTATGTAACTACAATTTTGAACTCTTACCAAGAAGGTCATAATGGTACATGGAAGTGTATAGGTCACAGACACAACAGGCACCTGCAGCAGGAATATGGGTGTTTGGTATTCCTATGGCACAAAACACCAACTGCCATCTAAACCTGAGAACCCTTTCTCTTAGTGCTGTGTTGCAACCAAAGAAGACAACTGCATAATGGCTGCCTAATATTTGAAACCCTGAAATGATGACCCAAAATGCACTCAGGTCAGTGAGCCTCTCTGTGTGTCCTCAGGCCTTTTATTAACTTATGATGTCCACCTCCAGCTGATAGATAAAATAATTTGCATTACTCATGCAGATATAAACAAAGAAATTAGGCATGCAGCAAACTGAGGAATGAAATTTCCTGCAGCCTGCCACCACCTGATTTGCCTGGATCCAGTGATTTCTTATACTGGTAAATTGTAGGTACAAAAATACTTGTGGACAACAAACTAGACACTTCAAATACTTTATGGATATATTTTTTCACTCATATAAAGCCTTAGTTCTGGCTGACATTGGCTCAGTTTCTGTAAAATTGTACTTCAGGTAAGAAAAACCTCTAAGCAGCACTACAAACTTGCAACCAATCAATCTGAAGCTATGTTAAATATGCTGAAAAAACAGCTGTGTAAGTACATGCATTTCATGACCTTGACAGTGGATAAATAAGAAGGGATAGCCTCTCTTCCATCATGCTTTAGAGGCTAGATAGCTCCTCATCCAAAGCTTTGGAATATACAGAGCTTTGGAAGACTAAAACCATGGCAGAAATAAAGAGTCTTGTGCTAAAACAAATACTGAAAGCACCACAGAAACAAATATATTCAATACTTACTTCTGACAGGCAGCATCAATAATCAAACATGCATGATTTAGCTACTTAAAATATGTTACTTCAAATGCTTGAGATGATCTTATAATATACCCCTTTCAAATAAAGAAATGTTTATGTCAAAGAAGTTTAAGAATCTCAAGCTAGTTACCATTATAAAAAAAAAATTGTACTGCACAAAGTAGCTACCAAAACTGTCACTAGTGAGCAATGTCAGAACAGACAAGGGCTTGAACGTCTCCATTTTGGGTGTAAAAGCCATCAGCAGGATGCTTTCAGAAACTTTATAAGTCTTTAAGTATCATATGTGTCTGTTGTGTACCTGTGTGGTCATACCACCAAGCCTGACAGAGTTGGAGAAGTGTTGGAACAATGCTCTGCGACACATGGTGTCATTCTTGGGGCTGTCCTGTGCAGGACCAAGAGTTAGACTTTGATAATCCTTCTGGGTCCATTCCAACTTTGACTATTCCTATTCTGTAAATAAGAAACTGAAGCAGTCAGAATTTTTAATTAAACTCTGTGCATAATTTTTATTATTTAATACTCTGAGCCACACTGAAGTCAAATCTATAGTATCTGATTATGACTCCCAGCTGCTACTTTGTATATTCTGCAAAAAAAACCCAAACTTGAATACATCTACTATCAGTAACTGATTTGTCTTAGTTTGGCCCAAAGCTGCTGTGACTGGAATTTCCATCACTCTAACACTTTCTGTGCAACCACACTGGCATAGATATTTGAACATTTCATACTCACCTTTGATTTTCCTGAGTGATTTTCAATTTATTTAAAATTTCTGTGCTATTTCCTTCAACTTCCTGTAAAAAAGACATAAATGGTGAGAAACACTGAAATACTTTTCGGCATATACCAAAAAATCTGCAGCAATACTAATTGGCAACATGTCTGATCAGCGTTTAAAATACTCCAATTTTTTTTACTCCATTAACCTTGACATAAATTATAGTAAGTAGTCTCCGTGTGACAGGAGTTTTAATTTAGCACTATATCTCAAGTTATGTACGTCTTTGAGTCTGACACAGAGCCTCTCTTCTGGCCAGTTTTTTTACCTTTTTTTTTACCTCGGAGGAAAACTGAACAGACAGTAAAACCAGGTCTTACCATGTAAACAAGGAAGGGTGTTCACAGCACCGTTTTTTGCTACAGCCACTACTATGCTACAAATGACTTGATTTTGTCTTTCAGCATCCATTTCTGGCTTTTAGATTGGGCTGCTAGACAAAGCTCTGAATGCAATGAGCTTTATACTTCACATTTCACCTATATCTGAAATGATGCCTGCTTTTTTGGCTGCTAACATAGAGCTTCAGACTTCAGAGTCTGCAGCAGAACCTAAAATTGTTTTATTCAAACTATTACTCACTTCTCTCAAGACATCTGTTAGTTCCTATATTTTACAGGAGTCTTTCCAAGTTCCTGCTGCTGAGCTGTTCCATGAATTTCATATGTCAGGGTTATCTTCCACAGGGTTTCACCTCCTTCCAGTGCCTTCAGTACAGTTGGAAGGAGGAAGATTTTGCAGCTTTGATTTACATATTTAGATCAAAGTGCTCTCCACAGTCATTTAGGAAAAGGAAAATAAGAACAAAATAAGGAATTATATCCCATACCTTTCCACTTTCTAGAAGGCAAAGCACAGCAGGCCTAACCTGAAACTTGTTAGAGCCACAGGGAAGATTTCCAGTCATTTGGGACTAGAGCTAGTGAAGGTAACTCATGTATAAACTAGTTTGCTGTATGCCTGAACCACATTGGGATCTAAGGAGATAACCTTTATTTGGCATTGGAGAAATGTGTTTGATGAGTTGACTTTCATAGTTTGAGCATGAAAAGGCAGTAAGAGATCAGTTAAACAGATCTGCTAACATTCCAGCAAAAGAAAATGCATCAGACATGCTTATCTTTCTAAAAATAAAACCTCCATGGCAAAGAACATGTTGTACTTACATAGCATTATGAAATGTTTTTAAAATACTATGGCAATGCTCTGGTTTAATTAGAATGTTCTTAAATTATAGTGGGTTTTCCCTTTCAATGAGGGGTTTAAAATGTTGAATTACTGTTACAAATGGTGTTACAAATTCAGAAAGCCTACACAAGGATTCAGCAGAAGTATGCTTGAAGGGCCAAGTCTCCCAAGGCCTGCAGGGGCCATTCCATTTTCCCTTATGGCTACTTAAGGAATATAAGAGGTTTCCCTCCCTTGCTGATGTGGCTGTCTCCTGTTGGGACACCTATACAACATTGCCATCTGCTGACTTTCTCTTTTCATTACAGTACAGACAAGCTCAGCCTCCCAAAAAATCCACTCTATAAACCAGCAATTTATATTTAAAGACCTTCTGAATATTTATATCTATTTTTTTTAAAAAAACAAAAGAAGTACTTCCCAAAGTGATATTTTTTCTGAGGATCATATTTCATTTGTTATCATGCCATGGGGGAGCATATCTCAGAGTACTTACACAGGAACCTTACATAAGGCACATGGATCCTAAGTTGTCCTGTTTGCTAGGAAAAAAAAAAAAAAAAACACAAGGGGACAAAAGAGGAAGAGTTTATTACTTACTGCTGCTGTTCACTGTTTTAATATCTCGATACCAAGTAAATCTTCTAAACAAACCAAGAGTCCTCTTCATTTCCCAAAGCTCTCCAATGTTGAAAGCTTGCTGAGTGCTTTAGAAACAAGTGACAGACTTCTTTCTTGTACTGTTAGGTAGCAGTACACATGATTGGTTGAAAAATTAGGCAGGAAAAACAATTATTTTAAATATGTCATTAAATTTAAAGACAGTCAAACATATAACAAGAACACTGGCTATACTTATACCTGCAATTTTCACTTTGTGTTTTTCAGTTTTTTTCAGCTTTTCTGTGACTTTTTGGCACCTGTTTTATTAACAGTACACTTAATTAATTTCATCTCCTGTCAACAGGTACAACTTCAGGAGACAGTAAGTTTGGAGATATGTTTGACCTTTTAGATGCTTAGTCAAACATAAGCCTTACATGAACAACTGCTGTTTGTCCACCATTAGGAGTGACACATTATCCCCTACTCATGCTGACTGTACTTTTAGCTGCATGAAATTACCTCCTCACTTCACACAGCTGGAACACTTAGCAGCACAACCGATGACAAGGACATGTTAAAGTGCCTTTATTGAAATTGTGCTATTTCTAACTGCACGACAGCCAGCAGAAAAGGAATGCTGTTTGTAAATGCTGAATGCACTAATCCTGTAGAAATTTGCAAGCATCTATCTTTCATAGTTTAAGTGGTCCTCACACAGGCCACCTTCAGTATGCAAATTTTGGCACATGAACAAATTTCTGCATGTTCTGTACCTTGGATTACACGATATTCAATACAAGCATATCTCTCACTGCTTGCTTTGTACAGCACCAATGACTATGAGAGCTGAACAAATAATGATGCAGCCTAGTGAACCACAAAAAAACAAACATGTAACAACTTCATTCTGTAAACAAATATTCATGTTAATATTTGTCATTTTATTAAAAATCAATTACTTACTATCAAGAATCCATCAAAGACTTCCAAATCAATCTAGATTTAAACTTGAGTTTCCTTTCTGCATCTGAAATATGTTCACAGCTATGGCCATTCCTACATACTAGTGAATAATCTCCAGATATTTCTGGATGCTGAAATAACCAAACATAAGATTTCAAAGGATATCAGGAGACAGTCCTATCTCTCCCTCCTTGAAGTCCCTAAGCATTTCAGAATTCATTTCAAGGATACATGATGCCAACTTGGAATACTTAAAAATCCCACCCAGAACCAATTTTTTTCTCGAGGCTAAGAAACAAACAGGTTAAAATTAATGATGCTGTTTAATGTATATTTACTTGCAAATCCCCAGAACTGTAGCATGAATACAGAAATAACCCCTATGTCTGTAGATGACCATCTGACATAGTAAAGGTCAGCCTACAAACCTCCCATGGCAGGGGCAGAGGCAAGATGCTGTGGTGAGCATAGAAGCACCCAAATTAGGCATATATTGTCTGTGAGGATAAAATAAAGACCACTGAGGGACAATATCTCAGTGCTAAAAGGTCTGTCATGGTTGTACCTACATGGACACCAATACTTCTTCAGAAATCTTACTAGGACACGTTTAGAATTTTTTTTTTGTCCATATTTTTCTAAGGGTCTTGGCCATCATATGCACCGTCATGGCATAAACCACTATTTCTTCCTTCACTGTCTCTAGTGCGTTCATGTCTTCCCATTTATCAAGAACTTTACACCTCATAGATTCAAGCTGTTCTAAAATAGAGACCAGTTTTTCTTCCTCTCATGTCTGTTTCAGGTTTCCAGAAATAAAGTACAGGCATAATTTAAAGGACAGAGCTGGCAGTGCAAAGCTAATTGTCATCTAAGGCTGTGTCCACAGAGCTCTTAGGAGGTAGACGCACATATAAACTTGAGTTAACAATGCCAAACACCCACAACATTGTCTACAATTTGGTTGGGTACACACACTCACTGCACCCACACTTTATTTCCACCAGGAAATGAATGCTGGCACACAGGCTGTGCCACTCACCTTTCACAGTCATCCTCAACCAACATCCCCTAGCACTTTATGCAAAATTAGTCAGGCTCTGGACACAAAGGGAACAGAGACAAGGAAGAAATTACTGAATCCCAGCACAAAGAGCAGATAATAGCACACAAATAGCAGAATAAACATGTTGTACTCCCTTAGTAGAGTCCAGAAAAAAATGTACTTCAGAATTTTACAGGCCAAGTTCACTGTCACTTCACCCATTCACCTCACTACAAGTCAATAATGTAACGTTACAAGATCCTGCATGGCCAGCTCATGCTTCTGTCCAGCCAGGGTCTTATTTGAGGCAAAGACCTTTTTGGCTTTTCACAGCTTGTCAGCAAGCTCGTCTGCAGGCTGTCAGTGTCCATGCTGCTGCAGCCAGAGCTGTATTACAGACCCTTGCCAGCTCCTCATCTAGAGAAGGAGAGGCACTGCATGCACAAATAGTGCCCTTCACTCCAGTGGTCTGTAAATAAACTTTCTTCCCTGATGGCATCCTGTTTTATCTGTCTCCCACACCTGTGTCCATGTGCAAGGGAAGCCATGGAGAAGAGAATAGCCAGGAAAGATGGGTGCAGGGTTATACCTCCAAGGCTTTGCAGATGCAGAAGGGAAGGAAGGAGGAAGGAAAGGCACAGGTGAAGGGAGTGAGAACATGGAAAGGAGGAACTGGCCTTTCTCTGCTGTGTGAGAGATTCCAGCCTTGCTCTCTGGCTTGTCTCACTCCTGCAATGAGCAGGTCAGGAAAATCCTGTTGACTGAGGGGATGCCCTAGAGCTGGGAGGGGCTTTCAGAGTCTGCAGTAATTCAGGCATATTTGATATGTAGCAGCTTTGTGCCAGGGTGTCAGATTCAGGACTAGGCACTATATCAAGTAATGATGATGTTTCAGCATTAAACATCACAGAACACCTAAATTTCCTACTCTCCAAGCAGCTTGTCAGCAGCAGGCAGCCTTCCTCTTCATCCCTCTGGTCTGTGGTGCAGTATCAGCACTCAGTCCAGTGGGAGCCAACAGATCTGATGAAAAGTGAGGCAGGCTGGAGGAAGAGTGTGAGCCAAATTTGAGGGATGCACTGCCTCACATGGGGAAAGGGCCTGGCCATGCTTCCTGCTGCTCCCTGCCCTGGGCTCCAACAGCCACTAGCTTCTCAGAGATCCTGGGTTTTATGTGAATCATTGTAAACAAGAGAAGAGCACAATCTCACTCTGTGGATCAGAATAACTGGCTGGTCCTGGAAGGGCCTCAAAGAAATGTCACCTAGAGAGAAGAAAATTTTAGAAAATTTAGAATGTTTTAGAAAACATTAAGAAAACTTTATTCAATGTTTAAATATACTCATATCTCCCTTTTCTCCTCTGAGAAAATTGTAAAGTTGTCATTTCAGGTTAACACTGATTGAACACTTTAATTGCTTACATTAACACATCCTACATTAAAAAAAACACTCAACAAAACAGACCAAAAAAACTAAACAAAGAAACCTCCCTCCCCAAACAATATTTGAACAATGTTTGTAAAGCTTTGTTCCCTATAGTGCCAGCACATGTTAGCGTATGTAGCCCAAATTTCTTGGCTTGGGCTTCTAAATACAGCAGTAAGACAAAAAGAACAGCAACATTAACAACTTTCTGACTTGGCTAGTTTTAATTCCTTAATGTGTAATTGAGGAAGACATGGAGGGGAAGTTTGAGGTTAACTGAGTTTGCACTTCTGAAATTAGTACCTGACAAGGAGGAGAAAGGGAAAAACCTTTACCCATTGTTTAAATGCCTTTTAGCTCATTTTATGCAAAACTATTCCTCAGATATGTCTCGGCTGAGAGAGTTCTGTTTGTTTTATTCATTAGTCCTGTGGGAAATCCAGAGCCAATGACTGATTTTACTGGTATTTTAGTGGTTGACTGCAAAGCAATGGAACTCAAATTCTGCACCATGCTGTAGAAACAAACATAATCAGAGCAGCTGCATTCAGGCATATATTCATTGGTGAGAAGGCAGTTACACTAGGGAGAAATTTGGGCCAGTTTAGCTGCCAAAGAAAAAAAAACAACCATAAAACCACAACCACAGCTGGCTTGACTGTTTAAGCACTGTTCCTAACACTACACAGAAAGAAGACTAAGAAGATTTGGATCTTTCTCTTCTCTCAAAGAGGAACTTTACATCACCCCATGAACAGCTATTTCCTTATTTACCACTTTACAATTCACTAACCAGTATGTTCTCACACTCTGGAAGAAAATGGCTTTCAGAACAGGTTTTCACTAAAGTCATAAAATGCAGGTGTGCTGTGGTCAGACAAGTTATACTTTATCCTGGTGACATTTCACAGGATTCCCTAGTTTATCAGAAATCAGCTTTTTTTTATTTTTACTCTCCCACAACTTTCCAGATTTATGTTTTTATCCTACTTGAAGATCCTAATACAGATTTCTTACAGATCAAAAGACACTACTTTCTTGGTTTTATCCTACTTGAAGATCCTAATACAGATTCCTTACAGATCAAAAGACATATCAAAAGACACTACTTTCTTGAGCAATGCATCAATACACTGTAAACCTCAGTGCTGTTACTGAATCAAAGCACTGAGCAAACCTCCAAGAGGGACTGGACTATTGTATGGATAACTACAGCATTCAGGACTGATACACTGAAGGCTGAAAAGCAGCTTAGCAAGGGCACTTGAAAGCACATGATTCAGGGTTTAACCTCCTCATCATAGGCATGAAATCCAGCCACTATGTTTCTGCCAGCTGAAGGGTTTCATCCCCTGAGACATCACTAACACTTTAGACAGTCTTCCACTGACACCTACTGGTTTCAGATAAGGCCAGAAGTGAAAGAAATATAAGAAATATTACACATCTGATTTCATTAAATATCAGTACATTTTGATCACACTAACAGGACAAATCTCAAAAGCTGAGGCAACTTTTGATTGATTTTCCTTCTGGCACTTTAGAACTCCAAAGTGTTCTTTTCTGCTCAACTCCAAAGTGTTCTATCACTCACCTTTTTTATTTTCTGGAGTCTGATTCATCCGTTTCATGTTTCTAATTATTTCTTCAGTCTAGACTAGAACAAAAGAGAAGAACAACTCCACAAATATCTTTTCATTTACAAAGGTAAATGTAAACAAATAGTTGTGACATACAACGAAGATAGTTACACGTGCCCAGAGGTCAAATGTTGCTCTAATATAGCAGAGAGAAACTGAGGTTCAGTGAATTACAGCCAAGTGACTCCAGGTTTGAATGCTCAGTGATGCAAAAGAGAACTGACATGCTGTAAGGAGCTAACAGGATTCAATCACTCTCTTTTTTATTAAAATTGCAGTTCTTTTCTTAAGAGGAAACCTCTTGTTCCCTGAACAAGGGAAGAAACTACACATTGTTAGATATCACAATAGCATAAAAGGACAGCTTAATCCTCTGCCTACATATCTATATTCTTATTTTCTCTCCATCATCAGATTTCAACAATTCTACCAGACATTTTAACATCACTAAGTAACATTATTTAAGAAGAAAAATTATCAGTCTTGCAGAAAAACCTTTTCCTCTGCCCACCCTCTGAGGATGGTTTCCCTACACATAGAAAGGAGTACACATGATCCATGGCAAGAGGAAAAATTCAGTCTTAGGCTGTCAGTAGTAAGTAATGCATGCAAATGACTCAAATTTCAGTTGTTGCTTTTCATGCAAAACTAACAAGTTGACATCAGGATAGCACATGTGCCCGGACTTCTCTGGAAACAGACTGTTCTTCAGAACTGAACAGTCTTATGGGGCATTGGCTTTTTATGCCAACAGCTGACAAATCTCTCAAGAACTCCTTTAGATAACTCTGGGATGTTTATCATTATTCCCTTTCACCACTTTGGCAGAAGACAAAATGTCATATTCTTCCCCTTTATCTCTAAAATATTTATAAAAGATTGCACAAAAATCAATCTCTGAATGGCCTAGATAAAACTTGCATGTGCAGGAGCTATAAATATTCCACATTATGCCCTGTTCCATCTTAAATTCATGCCAGTTTGACTATCCCACAGTAACATGCCATGAATTCTCTCTCTGTAGAGAAGTATAGACACAGATTACTGGGTCACTGTTAGTCACCTTTCTGCTTACCTTAATGAAAGCTAATGACCCTGAATCAGTAAAATTCAGTTCTGAGCTGTTGATGAGACTAAAGGTTAACATTAAAAAAAAACAAAACCAAAAACAAACCTCTATGGCAGGTTTCAAATAAAAAACTTCTATTGCAAGTTTCAGCCATTCAGAGCCTTTTCCAATTTTAAATAGATCAAGGGCTTGCTACAGACAAAAAAAAATATGGACGGTTTTCTGGCACACAGCACAGCCAGTAAATATGAAGACTCAGGATTGTCCAAAAGCAAAGGGTGTGCATGAGTCTCTCGTGTAATACCACTGAGCAGTGTGATACTCAAACTAGACAAAGCTCTTATGCTGTCAACTGTGCCATGTTCATCATTACCTTTCATTTCATTTCAACAGATTGTCAATATCACACAGGTACTCCCAGGCTAATCACTAAAGAGAGTGGATAACTAGGGAGAAATCCTCAGAGCAAATCCACAGGATTGTCTCTGGGTCGATGGAGAGCACAGGCCTAAGCAGCTGTCAGAAACAGAGGGGTTTAGTTTTGGAGTAAGGGAAGTAAAAAAATAAAAAAAGAGTACAAAAGGATGAGATAGGGAATTGGGCAGGGACTGAGAAGTCCAGGATGAACTGAGATGAGGTCCTGTGTCATGAGCATGATGGGAAGAGGCTCCAAGGGGGCTGGGCAGAGCCAGTCAGGTATTGCTCTGCCCTCAGATCTTGACATCTCCTCTGTGCTACCCTTCTACACCCAGTGTGGAAAACACCTTTACCTTATACGTTTTCCTTTCACCAGAATTGAGATTTCATGGGAAGGAGAGGCAGGGGAAAGGGGTGTGCAGCATTGCTCCTGGAAGCCTTAGGCAAATACCACCCTCTGCTCAGTGGCATTTCTCCAGTAAACCTGGCACAACCTGCTGCGGCTCTACCAGAGAGAAGAGAGAAGGACAATATGTTTGACACTTCAGAAATCCAGCACAGTCTATTCAGACAATGTTCTGCTTATTCTGCAAGCAGCTGCTGTCTCAGATTTTCTGCTGTGGCTTGCTCCTACAGAAACTGTTGTCAACAATAAAGCAAAGGGCAAGCACTAGATCTCCAGTGTCAAACAGGGAGTGAGTGCCCATATCTGACTTTAAAGGCTTAATTTCTCTGTAGCATCACCAAGGAAATGAGCTAATATTGACAAATACTACCTTGTAATGTGTTATAAGCAGAGAGTCCAGAAGAGCTCATAACCTAAATTGAGAGGGAAGAAGACTACCGAAAAATGCTTAACAGTCCAGATTACAGACTTCTGTTTCAGTTTGGCTCCAGGAAAATCATACCTTTTGTTCTATGACAGAAGGTTTGCTTATTCTGCCACATTTGGGTTTTTTCAAAACCTAGATATGAACCATTGGATTTTGGCTATAGCAACATCATTCTCAGCACAGTTCACTTACCCAAGTAGCTGCTCATCCTCAAGGATTTAGTGATTTCTGTCCTCCTTTTCCCTTTTCTTGCCTATAAATGTTGGATATTAATGTGCAATTATTTCCCAGAAAAATAGAGGAATGAGTTTTTTGCCCTCTCAGTTATCAATTAGAGAACCAAAGTAGAAATTCTATCATGATTACCATCACATTAGAGTACTGAACCAGAGTATAATTTTCAGCTACAATATTTTAGTTGTGTTCTACATGCAAATCACTGCCTTAAGTGCCCAAGAATAAAAACAAACAGATTTTGTCCCAAATAAAATATTCCAAGTATTCTAATTCAACATAGTGAAAAAAAATCAAAAGAAAAGAAATAGAAAACTGCTCAGTAAATAAGACAAGAAATATCACACACAGGTAACCATCAAAGTAAAAGATGGAGAAATAACTCACCAGTAGGTTACAGCTGATTTTTTGTTCCCCCTAAACATTTTAAGGATTTTAACATTAGGGCTCAAAAGTTAGACGGCTGGGGTTTTAGAGGGGTTGGTTTTGTTTGGGGAAGAGGAGGTTGTGTGCGGGTTTTTGGTTTTTGTTTTTTCTTAAATAATGTTTTTAACAAAGTCCTTCAGAGATAACCAGATGTTCAGTGTCAGTTTGTGTTACTCATAATTAGAGAAAACCTGGGAAAGAACTCATCCATCTTTCCTAAACACTGTCTGCCCTTCTCTCCCGACCATACAGAGATATTTCAGCAAGTGAAAATGTAAGTATGGCACATGATGCTACTCTCTTGTAACCTGGGGGACATTGCAGGAAGAAAGATATTTGCTGCTATGCAGTTAATTAAAAGGTATAAAGTCACAGTAGGAACACAGGGACATGTGCAAGGGCTCATGCCATTAGTAGGGCCAGAAACAGAACTGGGAATGTACTAAAGACAAAAAAATCACACAGGTCTTGTAGCCATGCAGTTTAATTTGCTGGTCAGTGAAGAAAAATTAGATGAAACAACACACACAGAGACACACACTTGTGACCCTAATTTAAAAGGATAAATGAAAGCAGTTACTGAAAGCATACCCTGCTCCTGAATCAATTAATATAAGTATTAGCAATTCACCTTTTTCTCCAGTAATATTTCTTCCAGTCTTGCAGCCTGTGCAGAGGTGGGCAATTCCTTTATTTCTGCTTTCTCCATTAGCATGTTGGAGCTTATAGAATGAAATTATGTCAGTTCAAATCACTGAGCAGACCGGAAATCAACTTTCTGTACAGGTATCTCTCTTAATACTTGTATTCACAGTTCTTGTTTGCTTACCTGTATATAATGGGAGAAGGAGCAAAAAATGAGGAAATTGGCTATCCTCTTTGAGACCACAACTGATTAAATTTTAAAAAAATTATAACATCCATGAGGTTTATTAGATACATTTGATTTTAAAGTGTGAGCAATGGGCAAGTCAAGAAGCTGACCTTGGAACACACTGCATTCCTTAAAAGTAACTGTTAGCTCAGAAAGACATAATATAGGCATAACCCAAAAACCCCTAGCTAAGGAATACAACAGTTAAAATAATACACTTAGAATCTCATAGTTACACATTGCCAAGTCTGAGTAATAAATCTGGGCAAGAGAAAGAAGAGGGTCTCTCAGGCAACCTGTGCTGGGCTCCTCTGCCATGGGAACTTTTTCTCGAGTGCTGCTGGCCTCACTTCAAAGTGCTCTGTGCCTAAGATTAAATTTTTCACAACAAGCCTTTTAGGTAGATAATATACTATGGCAGTTTGTTCCTTTGTGAATATATTTGTTTAAAACGAAGGCTGGTAGAAAGTCCAACTATTTAATCAAAGGACAAAGATTGACATCACTGCTACTTAGATACAGTTTTCTGTCAAGCTTTGTACCAGAGTTGTTCTATCTCACAAAGGTTATACTGATTCAAATTGTTTCTGGGGAAAATGTTTCCTGGTAAAAAATGTTTCAAAAATTACGAGGTCAAGTTGTTATCCTAATACTGCACTCTGCCTCTTCTTTCACCCCCTCTCTTCTGCCTCTTACTCTGGCCTCTCAGCTCAGAGGCAGAGGAGAAAGGTTGCTTGACAATATTGACTGAGATGGGAAGTAGCCAGCTTTTGTGGCAAGTTCATTAACTGTGCAGCAGGTGATATTTTCTAAAATCCAGTGGAGGTATGTTGGAGGTATACAAGACTAAAATCCTCTGCTTATTAGCTTGATCATTTTCAGTGTCTGGCATGCTTGGGCTTCTCTTGGAATGGCTGTTTCAGTCAAGCCTAATCTCTATTTTCTGTGTCATCAGCCACAGTCCAGCAAACACCAAAGATAAATTCTCTATAAAATTCCCCTCATAAATACGCTGGCATCTCACAAAGGATGAAAACCTAACTATAAGTATCATAGCAAGAGACAAAGTGCCAAATTCTTTCAAATATTTCTCTCACCTACATGAAATTTCAGTTTTTGTCCAGGCCATAGTAGCAGATATGTCTTACAAGTGCTCAACTAAGCAAACACAGGGGATTGGGTCTTCAAAAAGAAGAAAGCGGTGATTTTGCTTAAACCTCTTTCATTTTCCTGGAAAATTTCAGTTTTTGTCCAGGCCATAGTAGCAGATATGTCTTACAAGTGCTCAACTAAGCAAACACAGGGGATTGGGTCTTTGAAAAGAAGAAAGTTGAAAAGAAGAAAGCGGTGAATTTGCTTAAACCTCTTTCATTTTTCTGGAGCACACAACCAATACACCCAGAAAGAGAACGTAAAATTAACTTTTCTTCCATATGGATGTTGTCATATTACTGCAAGAGTTCCATACTGTCATCTCCTTATTGCAAAAGTTTCCTACCTTCTTGGTGTTCTCTTGTGGGCAGCTCCTCAGAGCACTGACTCTCCCTTCCTCACCAAGTAGCCAACTCACTCCAGTTCCCTTCTCAACCAGCCAAGCCACTCTCTCACACCACTCTTCCTCTCACTGGTCACAGGTGTGGTCCATCAAAGTCAGGCCTGTTCCTAATCTTCGGTAATTGGCCCAGCTGCAACTCCTTAGTGCAGAAAGTAATCTCACCCCTATCCTTATTTTCTTGTAATCTATCCCCCCACACATGGATCTCCTTTTCCTTACTTTAGCCATCTTGCTTTCACGCTACTCTAATATTTTGCTGTTAAATCACTTGGTAGCAGTTCATGATTTGCCACGAACTCCTCCTGGAAATGCAAGAGCTTGTTAAACTCTTCAGTTTTAACTATGCCAGCCAAGTGTGAACATATGAACAGGCATTCCTCTTTGACAAGTTCTACAACCATAACCTCTTACACATCAAACTCATCTCTTTTGATGACTCTCATGGAATCTGTCAGTTCCCTCCTCTTTCCTTTTCAGTGCTTTCAACTTTAGTATTTCCAGTGGAATAGAAAAATCTGCTAAGGCACTAACACAAGTCACAGGTGACTGAGGATGTCTGTTGTTAGGGCAGAAAAATTCAGGCTTTTTAGAAGCAGTGGAATGGTGGATGAAAAGTTACTTGAAAATCTTCTAATCTTCCTTGCTTTCTCATTTTCAGCTGGGAATTGATTTCTTACTATAATGGAACAAGTTTGTTTCCTGGCAGAACACCATCATCCCTTTATTTTCTCTGAAGGCTTACAAAATTTCTTTTAATTTAAGCATCCAGAGGTGTAAAGTTTAAGATTTGTTCTGTAAGCCATTCTTCCGCACTAAGAGATAAGTCAGGCTCCTTGCATGACAGTTTCTTTCCATAGTGAAATGGATTGTTGCAACACACACTTAAAAGAAGGAGAAAAGATAAAATATACCTTAAAAATGGAAAAATTTAGATGACAAAATCCTTCAACACACAACAAAACTATTCTACTTCTGGAACAGAGTATTTTACACAGTTATGGCTTACAAAAATATGCTTTCTCCTACCTTCTCTGGTTGACAGCTAGACATGAGCAAACAGGTACCCAGATGACCAAGAAGGCCAGTGGCAGCTTGGCCTCTGCCAAAAACAGTGTGAGCAGCAGAACCAGGGCAGTCCTGCTGTACTCACCATGGTGAGGCTGCACCTCCAGTTCTGTGTTTGTTCCAGTCCCCTCCCTACAAGTAACACATTGAGGTGCTGGAGCGTGTCCAGAGAGGGCAGTGGAACCTTGAGAAGGGTCTGGAGCACTAGTGTGATGAGGAGGAGCTGAGGGAGCCGGGGTTGTTCCGCCTGGAGAAAAAGAAGATTAAAAGGGCAGCCTATTGCTCTTTACAACTGCCTGAAATGAGATTGTACCAAGAGGAAGGTCATGCTCTTCTTCCAGTAATAAGTGAAAGGATGAGAGGAAATGGCCCCTGTACAAGGGATGGTTTCGCTTGGATATTAGGAAAAATTTCTTCACTGAAAGGGTGGTCAGGCAGTGGCATTGGATGCCTGGAGAACTGGTTGAATCACCATCCCTGAAAGTGTTCAAAAGCTGTGTGGAAATGGCACTT